AAAGGTAAAGTCAGAATATAATGAGTTTGGAGGTAGATATTGAGTGAGATTTTTAGAAAAATTCCCAAAAGTAAGTTCTGTAGTTCTTTGGGAAAACTAGAATAATTTTAAACAGTCACTGGCCAGCCTAAGAGAAAATATAACCATACATTTAACATCAAAACTTCAGTTGAATAATGATAAAATAATGTATTCTAAATATCCTAGAGAGAATATCCAAATATAACAGCGATAAAAATCGAGACCCTCAGAACTGCCTCACATTCAGGGTATTATTCTGGGAAGGCCATTTATGGTTCATAGTTCACATCTATTTTTTTAGAAAATGAAATGTTTATTATTTATGTGATTTTGTTTTATACATGCATGTATTGTTGACTATGTACATATATAATGAGTTTTGTCATTGTTGTTGCAGGGCTGGGGGACAAGCTTAGGGTCTCTTGCATACAAGCAAGCAACTTCCACAAAGCTTTAGCTCAGCCCTTATACAAAATTTTAAGTAGAACTTAAATTCTACCTATTATAACTTGGTCATATTGTGCACATAAGGAAAAGATGCCCATAGGATATAACAGCAGGATGTTAAACATAATTTAATTAGAATATGTATATACAAACATACATGATATAAAACATACAAATATATATGCATTTGTACATGTGATAACTAGATGCTAACAGTACCTATTTTTATGGAATATTTATTTTCTGCAAAATACATACAGAACAATGAAGACAATGATACAGATTAATATCCTTGGCCTTGATTTCTTGATGTGATTTTTCTCAATAGTATCATCATGAAGGGGACTGAATGGAGATTTACTTTAGGGAACAAACGTGGCTTCCTTAAAATATAGAAGTAGCATTTTCCCAGTTCTTTGTCTTTTACTGGAGTTGGGATGTAAAAGCCTGGGCTCTGGGCCTCCCAGCAGACTAGGCTGGGTGGCCCATCCCATGATATCGGTCAAGGAGACCAGCAGCAACTAGGGCAGCCAGGCTGGCAAGCACAGACATAGAGGTTCAAGGTCTTTTTGAGACTATAGAAAAGAGGAACAAAGCCAAGGGCTGGGGATTCCCATAGCTGGCAGTGTAGGTGATTTTGATCAAGTCCTGTGACCAGGGAGAGCCATTGTCACCCTAAGAGCCAATTAGGTTCTGATTACACAATGGCAGCTCCTTTGTGGGGCAGGGAGTAGAGGCCGCTCATTTTCCATCATGGGCTACTCACTCGCTCTTGGGGACAACTTCGTTATGAGGTGATCTGCAAGGGCTGCTTTTCCTGAGACTCAAAGTTTAGGACAATGGCTAGAGATTTCCAGGCTTCACAGAGTCTGACACTGAACTTATTTATTTATTTATACCAGGGAATCGAACTTGGGTCCTTATGCTTGTGAGGAAAGCGGCAGAACCACTGAGCTAAATTCTTGGCCCTGAAACTGAACCTTATAAAAGCTATCAAATAGATATCTTTGCAAATCCAAAAAAAAAAAATGAGTTATGTTTTCTTGGTGTCCTCAGTCTTGAAAGGAGATGAGATAGTGTAATTTCAAACTAATAAACCTTTTATCACACACTTCTGTGATATGATTAACTTGCCTAATTGCAGAGTGGAGCAGGGATCTGGCCCAAAGTTTTAAGGTAATAAAGGAGATTTTAAAAAAATGAAGACAGAGATGCCAAGCTTTATCTTGATTTTACGTAGGCATTGGTATCTGTAGGCCTAGCCTCTTATTCATTGTTGTCAAATTTCTGACTTCAAAGCAGCCTCTCTTCCTATGTCAAGTAGTTAAAGCTCCTATATAGGAATTGCACTTTGTATTTTGGTTATGTTTTTGTTTTATTTTAGTGTGTTTTCAATATGGCCAACACTCTGCCCATGGTAAAAATGCCTGCTTAATTAGATTATACATGAATGAAATACTGACAATTGTTCTCTTGTCAAATTGTTCAGTTTTCCTGCTGCCCCGACTATATTTATTTTTCAGAACGTATTTCCATGTTCTCTTCTATTCTGCAATCTCAGCCAAAGAGACAGCTACAGCAATGTGAAGCTGAGAATTTCATATTTAGTCTGCAATGAGAAATGCATAGAGTTAAGGACCCAAGAGAAGTAAAGAGTCCACACAACCTCAGGAAGCACCAAAAGAGAACATGCTGTGACTCCTTTTTGCATAAGTCTTGTCTTTCTATTTTTGTTTCAATCTCTCCAGAGCTCCAGCTACATTTCCTGTTTGGATTTATGAAAAATACCTGTATTGTCAGCTTTTAAAATTTAGTTTTCTGGTTTCTCAACCTTCCTTCAGTCAGTGACCATTTGACTCAGCTATACCTCTTCTGGGTATCTCCCTAAAAGAGGTAAAGTATTGGAGTGATATCTGCCTACTTATGTTTATAGGAACACAATTTGCAATAGCTAAATAGAATATAGAAACAGCTTTCTGTCCCATCAGATGAATAGATAAAAAGATGTGGTATATATCCACACAAGGAGGCTCTATTCAAGCATAAAGGAGGATAAATCTGAGTCATTCACAGGGAAAAAAAGAATGCAGCTTGATATCCTAATTGTAAGAGAAATAAATCATACAATAAGATTAACTATTTTGTGGTTTCTCTTATAGGAGAAGGTCAAAATATAAATAATTTAAGATCAAATGATTTTTAAAAGATGGTAGGAAATGGGGGTAGACTTCATGGAGATGGGGTTCAGGAAAGGAGAAGAAAAATGTATATGTAGCAATACTGTATAATGAATATATTCTTTATGTATCAAAAGCATACACTAATAAAAATTAAAAAACAGTTTATGAACATGCTGCTGTGGCAATTAGATACAATCATATAACAAACTTATCCCTGCACAAATTCTATTTCTCATCCTACCCTGATGCTATTCAAATGCATGAGTGAAATCTCTTAGTGTCTTTGGCTGGTGCACACTACATTGACTCTATCCTTCTTTCTATCTGCTTGGTTCCCTCTAACCCTCAAAAGCTCCATGCATACTGCCTTTCTCTCTAGGACTGGTGAGCTTAATACATCTTTTATTTTTATTTGCCTCTCTGAGTGTCATTTCTATTGCCTACCATGTGTAAGGATAAATTTTATTTATTGCCCTTTGTCGTGCACGGTCTCCTAATTAATTTGGCTCGATCCGCTAAAAGAACGTCTACCAGCCTTAAATAAGTATAAAAGGGACAGTTTATTGAAGGATATGCGCATATAGAAAACAAAAGTAAGAATGGAGAGGATAAAGAAAGAGAGTCCTCTAACAGCAAGAGGGACTCTATCCGGGAAATTATTTTTAGGCTCTCTGGCAACAATACCGGAATGTTGGAGGAATTAGGTTTATCACTCGCAACACAGTATGGGTCTCTTCAGCAATCCCTTCAGCTATAGGTCTCAATCCCGGGCGTAAGACAGCAGTAGCAGCCTGGGCTAGGTGGGCTGTTTTTATAGTTCTCTAGATAAAGGTAGTAAAACTACCTGAAATTTTGGCGCGAAAAAGGTGAATGTGTTTGCAGTCACGTCCCAATCAGGCCCTGGCCAGGGGTCCGGGAGGGGCGGAATGTATCACATTTTTTATTTTGATGTTAAGAACATCTGGTCTTTTTAACAAAGTCCTTTTTGCTTTTTTCCAGGGAACTGGCCAGGTATCCAGGGAAAGAAGAGGTGAACTAGTGATTATGCGCCTTAGAGAGCCGAAAGCCTCAACCCAAGCCTTTCCAACTTAAAGTTTTAACTTTCCTTACACCATGTTGAAATCATCCTTAAAGATTTCACAGGAATTCTTTCCATAACTTGTAACACAATACCTTATGTCAAAGCCGTTTCTACTGAGAGCTGCACATGAACACAGCTTTCTCTATTGACTCCTTTAATGAACAGCCATAGCCCTTCAGTGTCTACCATGTTGGTTAAAGAGGGAGCTCCTTTTCTTGTTGAATATCTATGCTGCGTCAGATGAAGGGTTATAATCTTTCATAAATACCTTTAATTATTTAATGACCACCATAACTGTTAATAGCAGAGACATTTTTCATATTATAAAAGTGAGGACTTGAAGCTGTGAAATAATCATTATTTCTCCTGAATCACAGTGCTCCCCAAAAAGGGAGCTGGGAATTCATTGTGAAGTGCTTGGCTCCAAAGCCAATGGTCCAACTCTAAGGCAGATATTCCTTTCTTTCTCAGTCTAGTGACAATAATTATGGAGGATTCACGGCCCACATTACCCTAGTAATTCTAATCTATGAATTTTTCTGACGTTGAGAAAACTAAGAGACTTGCCAACCTTGTTATGGTTGTTCTGACTTCTAAAAGGAGAGAGCTTGACCTATCAGGACCAAAACCTTCAAATCCAAAGAGAGTCAAAGGTATATTAAAGCTACCACTAACTTTCTGAATAATTGTGACAGAATGGCATCATTTTTACAGTAACAGATAAGATGCATGCTATTTTTATGGGTCTGGAATCACAGTACTGGGTATCCCTTCTCTCATAAATCACCTTTGCCTCATTTTATTTTAAGAACTGGGCAATTTAGCCATGTTTTCTATGAAATCTTCTCCCAAATAAGAAGAGTATATCTTGGACATGGATAATTTTTGAGGAAATTTGGATGAGAAGTTCTACCGGATCCAAACAATTCAGACACAAAGGTCTGAAGGCAGAGCTAAGGTAAAGTGGGATGGTTTGGGTGATTGACACCTTCCCTGTGGTTTTCTGAGTGGTCTAATGTGCAGGTTAAGGCAGGTGCTCCTCTTAGAAAAGATGCTGCTGCTAGCTCCAGGAAGTCTCAACCTCGTGCCCCTTCTCTACGTTATCGGGAGGACTGAGTAGCAGAGTTGTTGGATCTGAGTAGCCAGCTGTTGGAGCTGTTCCAAAAGGAAAGAACTAGGGAAGATTTCAACACTGCTTTGAGAGTATAAACTGCTATGTGAAATTGGAAAAAGCACCAACTTGCTCCTGTTTTTTTCTGTGCAGGGTCAGATGAGGGTCTTCTATTGAGGAAACCCTAAGTAAATATAAGCTCTTGCAGTTGTATGGACCAATGAAAGGTGAGAAGATTAGGCATGGAGTGTATTGGCCACTGAGTAGGTGGGGAAAAGGACTTTTCAGTTTTCTGTGCCATACACTAGGAAGACTCAGAGGAAGCACCTCGCCACATCTCCCTACAGCCTACAATGCAGAGAAATGAAGGAGCCTAGGGGAAAAGGTAAGGAAAGGAAGTACAGGAAAAGGATGACAGCCCAAGGGGCTGAGTCCTTACTGCAGAGACTGCCATGCCTAGCTGTACACAAAGTCTAACCAGGAGAAGCAGCTATCGCCTGTGCAGCCTGGTGGTTAAAGCCTTTATAATTGCCTATAGTCAGGGCTGAAGGGTTTTCACACCAGAAGCTGGGCTCCTCAAACACACAGAGCTCCAGGAAGCCAGTGCCAGGCAATCAGAGTTGTCACAAAATGTGAAACTGATTTGCATCTTATCCTAAAGTAAATTTGTACATGAGTGAACTTAAAATCTTCAAAGCCTTGTATTTTGTCTCATTTGGTACCCACATCAATGTGTGCCCTTGTCAAATTCTTCCTTCCTCAGAGATATTTCTGCCATGGTTTTAAACTTATTTAACATTAGGTTCTGGTTATATAAAATTCACTTTTAAAATTAGTTTGTGTTACTTATAAAGTCCCTGATGTTTCTAGTTACTGAATTTTGATGGATGGTGTAAGTAAATAAACTATGCATGAGGCTGTGGCATAATTGGGCTTTTTAAATGTGGTTTTTTTAGTTCAGAGTGATAGAATTTTCAAAAGGCTCAATTGGACTGCACGGGTCTGTGGTGCAATGCTCCTGCTCGAGTGGATTATAGAAATCCCTGGCACAGTGATAGAGAGGATTGCCAACTAACATATTAAAACTACTATCCATTTGTTTATCTGGTCTCTTTCCACTAGAGTTTAAGTTCTGTGGAAGCCAAATTTCTATCCTCTTTAATCATGGAGTCTTTCAAGTACTTAGAACCATCTAGGAATCATAATAGCCTTTCCATTTGTATTTGATCAGCAAATAAATGCACAACATTCCATTATGTAAAAAAAAAAAAAACAAAAAAAAAGTATTTCTTATTTTTATTCAGTATCTAAAATACCACTACTGATACAATGAAAAAATACCTGTTCAATACTCACATGGTATAAGCATGTTTGAATAAGAGGAAAGAAAACCAACTGTGGTCATGAGAGCCTCAGACAGTAACCTACAATCACAGACCAGCCTCTGGGTCAGTGTTAGCCTGGGAGCCCTGCTAGTTCATTGCATCAGGATCTCCCTCTGCCCCTCATGGTGCTCTTAGCAATGATCCATCTTCCAAGCTTACCTTGTTCCAGACTCTGAATTTTTACTTGTCCCTGCTGTGTTCAGAATAGCAGGGGCAACTAAACTCACTTCTATACTGAGGTCTCTTTCCCCTTAAATAAAATCTATTTTTAACCATTCTAACCACTGTGCTGCTTTGGTTTTTCTTTGATTTTAACAACTAGAAAGGAAGACATAGCTCTCTTAATTCCGGGGATTGTAATTGCTCAAATCTTTAATTTTACTACAAGAATACACATGCAAGAGTAACATTTAAAGGTGATAAGAAAAAATAGTACATCAAGTTATTCTTGGCCTGGACTGAACCTTGACTGCCTCAGTTCAATTCATATATTCCAATATCCCTTTTTCATTTTGAATTTGAGGATACTGTTTCTTTCTAAAATGATAGAAATAACCACAACACATTCCTATTTTCATCTCAGTGTCCAAGTGGGAACTCTGCTCCCTCACGGGCCCCTTATTGAGTTTTCTGTTAATAGACTTATGTCACCAGACTTCCAACTGGGTAGCCAAAGCTTAATCTTTCAAAATTCAGTACCTCAGTATTTTCCTGTCAAAGCTATGCATCCCCTATTATCTTATATCACCATGGTTTTCATGGAGGCAAACTTAGACTTCCAGTCACTTTGAAGAGTTTTTCGCAATGGATTTTTCAGGTCATTGTTCATTTAGCCTAATATACTCATTCCTGAGAAGGCTCAAAGTATTTGCTAGGGCAGAAAGGGCAAGACCATTTCTAAGTCTCAAGCATATAGCTGTCAATATTACCGGATAAGGTGAAACAGAGGTCACAATTTTAATAATAGCAGATTTAAGTAACATCATAAAAACTTTTAAAATTATTTTTGAAGTACTTTCTACAGTTATACAACTGATTTTGATATGGCTTTGGATCCACAAACCATAGCAAATTTACTGATTAATTATGATAATACTGATAGATACCTTGAATCATTTGGGTTTTTTTTTTGTATGCTTAGACAATCTACAAATAATGAGAGTTTTATTTCTTTTCTTACAGCTTTTAAATTTTTATTTTTCTTGTTTTGATAAACCAGCTATATTTTCCAAGATAATATTGATTAAAATGTGCATCCTGTCTCACTTCTGAACTAAAAAGTGAAAAATAGTTCTTGACATTTAAAAATTAATAGTGAAATTTGCTGTAGATACTTTTTTAGAGATCAGATTATGAAAGTTCTTTCCTATCCCTAATTGTCTTGCCTTATGAATGGATATAGACTTTTACCAAAGTCAGATTTTTTTCTGTAATTAAGGAGATTATGTTACTTTTTTCTTTGTTAATTTAGTTGGTTTTATTGAGCTGTTTTTTAATATTAAACCAATCTTACTACACTGGAATCTACCCAACTTGATTATCATCTATTGTCCTTTAACTATAGTTTGGATTTAGTGTGATTATAATGTTTATGTGTTGTTACATACATCTCAAAGTGAGAGCCACTCAGTTTCCCTTGGTTGTCATGTTAAAACATTTTGTTATCAAAGTTAGCCTGAATTCATAATGCTAGAGAACTTTGTCCTTATTCTCTTCTTTAGAAGACTTACTGTGAGATTAGCATAATTTCTTCCTTAAAATTTATTGGTGAAACTGCCATGATATGGAATATTTCTTGGGTAAATTGCACACATTGGTTCAATATTTTATTGTATAAAGGATTCTATACACTTCTTCAGACTATCGGAGTACATCGGAGCCATATGAGAGATTTGGGACAATATTTCCTATATCCTAATATTAGAATTGGTTTTGGCAATCAAGTCTTGTAAAATTCATAGACTTTTACAACAATAAACAATTCTAGGTTATGAAGCTTTGTCAGTGAGGATCTTGAATCCAATCTAAAAGATATTTACATCTTCTATGCCTTTGGTTCTTTCAGATTTTCAATGTGATCGGCTTTTCTGGGTCTCTGCTTCTCAACCTGCTCATGAAATTCCTCAGATATATCAATTCTAATTAAACTTCCTATTAGAGTGCTTTGTTATAAGCCTCCAAGCTTCTAAAACAAGGACTGTATTCAAGGTATTACGCAGTCTCATTTAAAAAAAAAAGTGAAATCCACATGATAAAAACATCTGTAGAAATGATAATGAGAAAGTGATAAAAAAGACAAATTTGGGGCCCCTAAGTTTTGTTTACTTGCCTATAATTAAATGCTCTTACTATAAATTTCAAATAATGTCCCAGTTTAAAATTATTCAGTTAAATAGGTGCTTGTCACATATGGAAAAAGAAAGGTTTTAGGTTATAATTTAGTAAAACGGAAGTCTACAAAGAGAAGAAAAATATCTGTTCAATTTAGTATCAAATCAGAGCAAAAAGTACAGAGACTCATCTGACATAACACATAGAATGTGACACATAAATTTTCTTGATTTGCCAGCTCTGTGTTTAAATTTTCCATTCAGGGAAAATTGTCCAGAGGCAAAAAATTAACAACAAGAATAGCTTTCTCTTTTGAAATTCACAGAAAAATTTATATCTGCTTGAATACATATTAACAAACGTAGGTCAGAGACCCATAATCCTTCCTGAATTGACTTGTCTCCCAAGTGCCCTGAGTTTGTTTGTTGTTGTTGCTGTTGTTTTACTAACTGAAAGAGAAAGAGCCAAAACAGGTTCACCTGAGGTTTTATTGGGGGAAAGAGCTAAGGAAAATCTGGAATGATGGTGAGAGAGAAGGAGACTAACTGTGGCAAGGTTTATTTAGGATGGTGTAGTGGGAAGAATATTGTGAGAGTTGAGAATTGGTTAGATTGTTGGGAAGGCAAAGCCAGGTGATTGGAAAGGGAGGATCATGCAGGTATCAGGGTGGAGCAACAAATTAGGTTTTGCATCTCCAGAGGGGGTAGGTTTCATTTTCCGAAGTGGCTCATTTTTGTAAGTGGGAAACATTTTAGGAATAGGAGCCATTTTAGACTGTAGGAGTGTTGGGGCCATTTTGTCTGGTAGAGAACTCCATCACTAACTATTAAATATAATGTCTTCTAGAGTTTGGCTGTTACTTCAAAACCTTGATAATTCTGAGAATTAAGAGTCTATTTAAAGTTTTTTGTTTTTCGTTTCTTTCTCATTGATATGTCCTTGGGTCCTGGCACAGAGCCCCTAAAGCTACTCGAAATTTGTAAATAATAAGCATGTCGTATGTTATTCATAAAGAACCCCCATTCAACTACCCTGAGTTTATGCTAATGAGCTGGATTTTGGTGAGCCCCTATGCAGTTCAGGATAAGGAGCTCACTAACTTGATTAGAGAAATATTCAGCCTCGCCTTTCAGCCTCTTGGGAGAAAGGAGGTGATAGTAGTCAAATCCAATTACCAATCACCAATGATTTTATTTAGATAGGTAAGTTAATTAGATATCTTGTAGGCAGTTAGACAGGGCTACCTCAAGGAGCCAACATGGGGTGAAGAGCCAACATGTAGAACAATCAAGGAGCCAACTGGAGGACAATTGAGGCACATTTTGAGATTAGCATTATAAAAACAGAAAGGCACTATTTCCCTAGAGATAAATAGCAGTGATTGATATTTTAAATGGGAAATTCCTTGTATGTGATTTGTCTTCCCATTTAATCAATATTTTCTGGATGAGTGTACTTGTAATCTTATTGTTGGTCATAGTTTTATTCTACCTCACACCCACTTTGTAATTTTTCATTGGTTCTTATAGTTTTGTCCTCTTTGCACCCACCTCACCTCATGGCTTTGCCATATAAAACACCTTTGAAAACTAAGGTGGGTGAGCAACCCATTTTCCAGTCTCCCTTCTGCCTCTCTTAGACAGAAGCTGTCTTTCTCTCAATAAATTTTTCCTACTCTTAGCTTCTATTGTTCCTAGAATTCCTTCTTTGATTTTAGAGAGTACACATTCACATTTCAGATATCTAGTAAGTTTGGGAGTTGCATCTCTTCCCCCCATATCAATTTGATTAATCCAGACTGCATAATGAAACTTCCATAAGAGCCCTGAGCAACATTACAAAGCATCCAGGTTGGTGAACACCTCAAAGTTCTCAAGCAATAGCCTCCCTAGGGAGGGCATGGAAGCACTCCTCTTGAGACCTTGTGTTGTGTATCTCTTCTATTTCTGAGTTTTATCCTTCCTAATAAACTGATTATCATAATTTAGATGATTTTTCATATCCTGCCAGTTGTGCTAGAGAATCACTGGACAGGAGAGGAGGGGTCATAGGACCTCCTGAAGTTACAATTATGTAACAGAGATTTAGAGGGTGGACCTGTAGATTTAAAATGGGCAACTAAAAGCAGAATATACATTGGAATCTCTGCTTTTTTAATGGTATTGTATTGAACCCACCGCCTTTACACTGAATTACATACCCAGCCTTTTTATACTTTTTTATTTTTAGGGTCTCACTAAATCACCTTTCCCCAGACTCAGACTTACTTGCAATCCTTCTGCCTCTGACCCCCAAGAATGGTGGAATTACAGGTCTGTACCACCAGGCCCAGCTTCTGTCTTCATTTTATATGCTTACAATATTGTTTTAAAACTGGATTAGATCCCTGCTTGATTCCGCATATAGGCATGTTGTATTAGTCACTTTCCTATTGCTGGGACAAAATACCTAACACCTACAATTTAGAATAGAAGAGTTTCACTTTGACTCATGTTTTCATAGGGTTCAGTCTACAGTTATTTGGTTCCAGAGAGAGAAGCCATAGGAAAGGAGAGCTGCTCAACCCAAGGCAGCCAAGGAGCAAAACCGGGAACTCTGCCAGAAGAGAAGGGGCCAGGGACCAGACATGGTACACAAACTCACGCTTCTGTGGCCCACTCAGGCATGACCAGAGATGTGGTTTTTTTTTTTTGTTTTTTTTTTTTCTTTGGTACCGGAGATCAAACTCTGGTACATGCATTTGCAAGGCAGGCTGTGGAACCACTGAGCTAAATCCTCCACCCTATGCTTTCATAATCACCTCAGTGGCTCCCAAGTCAATGAAATTAACACAATTGAGTTCAACCACCAAACTTATTAACCACTTAAAGATTGTCTGCATGATAAGGTTTGTTGTCCCTAACTTCACTTAGCCTATCTTACTCCCCTTCAAGAGGAGAACACAAAGATAAAAGCAACTAAAATAACTGCTAGGGGCTGGGATTTAGCTCAGTGGTGCTACCACCTGCCTCACAAGATCAAGATCCTGAGTTTGATCCCCAGCACCTAAATAAATGAATGAATGAATGAATGAATGAATGAATAAATAAATAAATAAATAAATAAATAAATAAATATAAAATAATTGTGAGGATTTGCAGGGATAACTAAGTACCAGCATTTGCAATAGGATTGATCTTTAACTGATTTTGGGCTCTGATAAGTAATGCCTAGAAGCCTCCATCCATTGTCCTAAACATATAGTCATCTTGGGTTCCAGGAAAAGCAGAGCCTCGCAGGCCACCCACAGTGAAGTCTCTCTGCTCCCCAACTAAAATAATTACCACATAAAGGGAAGCGAGGGATTGTACCCTATCTCCCACACCAGACAGGAGCTGTTCTCCCTAGATGGGCGCTGCATTGGCCCTTGAGTAATGATAGCTCTCTCATTACCTTACAGAGCCAGACCTGAAATACCAATCAACACACCACAACTTGGTCAAGATTTCTTCTGCTGCCAGCCATCTACAACCCTAACTTTGCTTAAAGTTTCTGTTGATCTCTTGCAGACAGATCTTGAACCTCTTTGTCTGTGCTTCCCAGTATGGCCAGGCTGATTAAAGTTCATTTCTTGGCCCTCACCACTGGTCCCCTTGATTAGTGTTATATGGTCAGTGACTAAGCCTGGTCTTGGGGACACCTGAACCTAAGATATTTTGTTTTGGTAACAATCATTTCTTCAGAAATGTAGATTGTCTGATGCTCCATTCTCAGTGGGCATTTGGATAGGGACAGCCTTGTGATAATGAATCTTAACTTGTGAATTTGAGTCTATCTTTAGATACTTAGAACTGAATTGAATTATTGGACATGCAGTTAGTGGCGGAGAATTAGAGAATTAGCTGGTCTGAGAAAAAAATATCTTTCAAGTCAACAGACATTAAATATTTCCTAAACACATGGCTGAATAGTAAAATTATTCTCTACTCAGTCCAAAAATATTTTTCTACTATTTAATGTTAACCATCAACTTTTATGTCTGTTAACATAGCAGAGCAGGTGATGGGGAAATTTTATTTTTTAGGAACAATTTGTTTAATATCCTAATTGAATGCTTAACATTCATTTTATTCTCCAAACAATAAATTGATTTATAATGTCATTGATTATTAATTGTATATATTAATACTTTCTTATTCTTGAGGTCAAAGATAGTGTTTACATATTTTCACCTTCTGTTAAGGATCCTAATAACACTGTCCTAAAATATAGTAAACATGTAATATATAGTTATTAATTGGCTTCATATGAGATTTCTATAATAGAAAATGTTACCTTCTCATAGTCCTATTTTCAAGGTGTCTAAAGTTGCACTTAGTACCTAGTCCATGACAATTTGCTGATGCTGAGTTGAACTGAAAGAGAGACTCAGGAGGCTGGAGACTGTAGTTGTCCTCATAAAAACTTGGTAGCCTCAGCTATCAAGAATGGTATATGCTCACAAACACCAACTTCATGAATTTTAGTTAGGGAAAATTGAGAATCCATATCCACATCTCTTGAAATATTTAGTATTTACTAGTCTTAATATACCTTTTTTTCCTCTATTAAGAAAAACATTTTCTTGCTATTTGTATGATGTCTTGGTGACCAGCAGGATATAATTTAAATTAGAAATCTTCATTCATTTACCTTTATTCATATTGAATTATCATAGCTTTATTCAAATGAATAAGTATATTCACTATGAACAAACACATTTAAGAATATATAAACCCAAGATTTTGATGGTAAATTCTTCCTGGGAGAGCAAAACTGAAAGCTTATATCAATATTTGATTTTCTTGCTTTTTGTATATTGTCTTGGTTACTTTTCCATTGCTGGAATAAAATACTCGATGCCCACAAGTTAAAGGAGGAAAAGTTTATTTTTAGCTCACAGTTTATAGAAACTGCAGTTGGTTATAAGGCAGGACAGCATAGCAGAAGGGCATCATAGAGGAGAAATGGTTCATGGTGTGCCAGGCAGTAGGCAGCAAGCAGCAGTAAGACTCTTTTTCCCCTTTTTATTCCATTCAGGCTATAAACCTATTGATTTGTACAACCCACTCCCAAGGTGGGTTTGGTAAATCCATTCAGACACACCCAGAACTGTGCTAATCCAATCAATATATTGATGCTGTTATCACCCACCTATAATCTATATTCACACACCTAGATCAAACCATATTGAAGAGACCCTACCTTGAGCTCATGACTCTTTGAGAGGACATCTCAATGCAAACCATAATATGTAATAAAGCAGGGTAAAAGAGACATGAAAATAGACTACAATGCCACAAGCAAGGAATTAATCAGTGCTGTAACATTTGGGCAGACGATAAGGATTTAGAAGAATATAGGTGAGAGATGGCTTTTCAAGAGGTGATGTTACTAGTGCTGATTATAAACCTACATTGTATTTTTCAGATCCAAATTTTGAATCAAATGTATTTTTCAGAAAGTTTAAGACACCAAAAGATAATGATTATTTGCTAAGAACTATTATGAGTGGTGAACTTATAAAATTCTGGGAAGAATTATTTATACATAATTGCTGTTTTGAACTCTATCCATGTTTATAAGAAAAAAGCCTATGAAACTCTCTCATTCATTAGGCAGTTTGACATTTCCATTGTAGGGTCAAATGTCCCTGGTCAGTATGGTGTATCCTCATACTGGATCAGTATAAAACATCAAATAGGTTTCTTTTACATGTTAAATGGTTTAAAAAAATAGCAGAGGAAGAATTATTTATGTGTTATGAAACACTGAAATATTTACTCTCTGGCACTTTGAAGAAAATGTTAGCTAAACTATGCTGTAGAATACTATGTGTCAACATTTTTTTTCAAAGATGTTTTGTGTTTGTACTATGTAAATGTTCTTTACATAGACTTGTACATGACACAATTAATTTATCATGGTCCCAAATTATTCAAGGAAATATCAGATTCTTACTTTTATATCACTTACTATAGCAGTGTTTTTACTGTCAAAATAGCCTGGAAATATTTGCATTAAACTCAAACCTAACTGATTAAATGTCTTGCTTCCTCTAATAGTATGTTTTGGGATTTGTTTTCTTTGATATATATTTGAGATATATATTATATGAACCTGCTACTTTGTAATTGTCATTTAAAGAATACTTAGAATCAATGACTAGTGTTGTCCAAAGGTTTTAGGATACATATTTTTTTATTTTAAGGAAATTGCTGAAGTTGTTTTCAAAAGTGAAATATTTCTGCAGTGTCAAATTTGAGCATCAAGTTTATTTAAATTTTATAGTCATTCTAATGCTACAAGAATTCTAATTTTCTTCCAACTTAAACTAAAAGTTTGATTTTATCATACACGCCTTCTATAAATATTGATATACATGTATAAATTTTTATTTATGTAAAATAATATTAATATTTCAATAAGAAGATATATTAATTTATTTATAATTTAAATAATCCTTTCATATCTTAATGAGTCCAGCTTGGTCATAAATTTATAAGACAAACTCCTAAATCCATTGAGTGCAGTGACTTAATTCTATTGGTCATAAAATTTCTATTGCTATGGATCCCATTCACTAGCCATGTTGTTTACACATTTTTATTGCATTAAATGATAGAAGCAAAATTGCTATTTGGGTCTATGAATTAATTTGGAATCTGATTATATCTCAAGGAGATTTTTTTGAGAACATGGTTCTTATTTTGTAGTAGTCATCTGTCTACAAATATTTGTTTAACTTTTTTTGCTATCTTTATCTCTCTTACATTGATCTATTTCATTACTTATGCCCAAGATAAAAGTATCACCATTGATCACCATTGCCTAGGTATACTAATAAAATTTAAGTACAGTAAATTCTGTATACTTATAAGAGTGTATATTATTTGTGAAGATAAACTTGGATGAAATTATATTATCATTCTTATTTTATGGTTATGATAGTGAAGCTCCAGTAAGCTCTATTTGCCATAGTGCTTAGCTTTGGGTCCATACCAAAGTACAGTCACTCATTATTGTACTAATGAGCTGACTTGCAAGACAAAATACCATAGTGGTACTACAGCTGTTGCCTAGACTAAGGGCATATGTAGCTCCTAGACTACAGTTGAGGTTGATTGCCCATGAGAAGACAAGGAAATTGTTACATTCAAGTTTCTTTGGACCCAGGCTTCTGTCTGGGTAGAAGCTAGGTATTATGTGATTGGTTCAACATCTATTCCTACCCCTTGGACACCATGAGGGTAAAAGAGGAGCAGATGTTTCATATGGGCTTAGAAGAAGGTACTTAGGTGTATTACAATCGATTTATCTGTTGATGGGAATGATTTTATAGTAAGGCAGAAACTGGTCACATGGTAAATAGACAATTGGAGAACCAGTGGACTTGAGCATAGGAGAAGAACTGGACATTAAAAGCAGAATTGAGATTTTGCCAGGTGGGTGAATATCCCTGATGAAAATGTATCTTTCAAGTGTTTACAATAAGGAAGCATGGTGTCATATAAGTGGGAAAGAAAAGCACTTATGAAGTTGATAGCATAACATTTTTGTCTAGATAACATTGAAATATTTTCAGAATAGGGGATTAGATTCAGTAAATTTGACAAAATAAGAGATTGTTATATGAGTACTACATTTTTAAAAACTCTAGTTTCCAGAAGCGAAACATTTATTGGCAATGACAAGGCCCAGGCAATAACTGTGGGAGAGAGAGACTGAAGTGTAGTGGAGCTACAGATTATTGCAACTTACACGATAATTGCAAAAGTTCAAGGATCTGTAAAGTATGATTTCATATTGCTTTTTTTCTCAGTTAAGACTACTCCTTCATTCCAATTGCCAAGGTCAGAACCCTTGGCAACATCATTTGCCCCTTTTTATGGCACACTATCATCTCATCGATAAATCTTGTCCTGCTATCTTTGTAAAAATTCTTGATTCCTACCACTACCCTCCATCTACTTTTGCCCTTTATCTTCTTGCATTCACTATCAACATGACAATAAGCAAACCATTCAGATCAAGTCACCTTGGGCTCTACACTCTCCAATTATTTCCCATCTAGTTGGAAGAAATTGTTTCCTATGTGTGTCCATGGTCACAATGATGCTTTGTAACACAACGTCCCAAATTTTATTAGTCCTATAACATTGGAGCTGTTGGAGGGGAGTGATGGAGTTAGCCTGGGACCAGTTACATTTTGTTCAAATTGGAGATGGAGTCCAGTTTGCTTCAGGCACTAGTGCATCCTACATGATGAGCCAACATCATGGTACAGTACCACAAATGAAGACAAGTCAAGTGTGCCAGTTTAGTTCCTCTGAAATGCAGATGTTATAATCAGATTAGGTTGAATGCAAAAGAGACAGCTGTGAAAGACAGGGAAAGATAAGGATAGAGGCCAATAGGAGGCAGGGAGAACTTTCTTTTTTAAAATGTTTTTTGGTACCAGGGATCGAACTCAAACCTTGCACTTGCAAGGCA